TGCCAAGACACCTCTGGTGTCTTGCCGAGGCTCGGAACGTAGTTCTGCGCATCTTGTCCGTTTCAACCGTATCTTCGTCGTCCGAACTCGGAATTGTGCGATTCAAGATACATCGGAAAGCCATCAAGAAGATCTACAAGCTCCCATGATTGAATCATCTGTGGAGTGGACAGGACACGGGGGGTGTTTCGTCTTTCGTAAGTGACGCGGAGCTCCCGATCAGTTCGTGTTTTCGTTTTTCCGAAGTTTCGTTTCTTCGCATGGTTCGTTGACTCACTTCATGTGCTTGTCAATGTCGATTAAACTTTTGTGACTCCGATAGTAATGTTCACCGTCTTCTCTGTGCCTCGAGCTGCGTGTGAGGGCTCGTAGGCAATTTTAGACGCCTACAAGCAATACCCAAATAAACATACTCAACACTTTTACTAGTCATGTCATTTTTCTCTGAAATCATGCCACTTTGAAGCCAGTACTCGGAGCAACATGACAGCGCTTTTCTCTTTTTGCTCAACAAGTGGCATGCACCATTCATGAGGATGATAATTAAATTCATATGGAGGACCAGAAGTAGAGAAACTATGCTCCACCAAGTATATGGCCAAATCCTCCTCAACTAATTAAGAGCCCTCTCCTAGAATGGGCACACTAGAAGCAAGAAGAGAAAATTGATCACCTTCACTGAGAAGAACCTTTCGAGTGTTGATATACGCCGTGCAAATCTGGTGTTTATTGCCACTATAGATGTGTGTATCCTGGTACGTTCAGTTGACGGTTTAAGTTAGTTATGATATGCTCCATTCCCTCATTTTTGTTACTTTAGGTACGCGACTGTAACATCATTGTCGTCATCTAAATCCTGTCATTGAGAATTAAGATACGGCTCCAGCCTAAGAGGTCAATGGAGGGAGAGATGAGATAAGGAGTGACCTAAGAATGAAGGGAAGGACTTCTTCCATCTTTGTAAACATGAAGCACTCCACTTAGATGAGAGGGAAAGAAATGATAAAACTTAAGCTCTCATTTTGCATTATATATATATATATATATATTAAAGCTTCTTTTCATTAATTTCAACTATAGTATATCGGTTGACTAGAGCATTAGAGGGGCTTTGGCTGGGATATGGTCTAGAAACCTAGTTTTTCGTCATTCTTGTAACTATATATCAAGCTATCAGATCCCAACAATTCATAGATGAGCTATGTCGGCTACTCTTTATGGCGGCCAGCCACTCGTTCACCACTTCAACCTACTCAAACACTTGCTATATCTGAGTCATGCTTTCTTGGATCATGCCTTTCCAAAGCCACATGAAGCAATCCATTCCATTTTATCCATCATACCTGCTCCATTTAACCATCTATACAGTGAAATGCATATTCAAATCTAAAATCTCTTTTTTTGGGGTGGGGGCGGTTGGCTGTAATTCATTGGTGTATTTTGGGGATAAATTTTTTTAGGACTTGCTCTTTAATTAGTGTTATTCATCTGAACGTTGGAATTTGAACTTTCACTTTTGATGTTATTGGTTTGATGGATCACTAGCGTGATAATTATCCATTTGGGATAAGAGCTTTGCTATAGGGACCCAAAATATAGGACCAATAGGAGGGACAAGTGATGTGTCCCTCTCCTATTGTATAATGAGTTGGCCATCATTAATGATGGTCAACTCATTATCCAATAGGAGGGGGATGTAGGGTCTGATTTTGCTTATGTATACCAAGTGTAGGATCGTGACCCTTAAGAATAGAGTGCGCTCTTATAAAAATTTGTGGAAGCTTTACACTTAAACACTAGAAGGTGAGTTTGCAAAGTAGATTATAAATTACAAAGAAAGAATGATAATCTTAGAAAATGAACATCACAAACACAAGCATGTATACTGGTTTTACCTCCCTGGTGTACATCCAGTCCCCAAGCAAATTTCGCTTGAGAGTTTCCACTATGATTTTGAAACCTTACAAATTTAAAAACAAACCTGACCAATTTGCAAGACCATGCAAATTATAAACACAATTGATAAGACCATGTCAATTGCCACCCAATCTCTAAACCAAGAGATCAACCCTCTGAAACCCGAGAGAAATCATTTTTGAAGAAAGAACACAATTAATCCTATAAGCCTTGAATGTGTAGTGAAGTGCAGCACTGGTTTAGAATTCTTTTAACTCTCTGAATATTGCCTAAAATCTCTAAGAATGATTGAAACCAAGGCAATATCAGAAACTCTCCTTTTCTAAACACTTAGCATGAAAATCTGGAAAACTAGAGAGTGAATATGCACAAATGTTTGATCTTATGTGAATGAATTAGTTGTGCAAATTTCTGAACTTATAACCTATTTATAGCCATTGAAAAGACAAGTTTTCAACCCCTAAAAACGTACACAAAACGGCTATAAACAGTCACTTATTCAAAACCTGAAATCTGGAAAAACTGCATCTGTAGTCGACTTTAAGTCATACTAGTTGACTACACTGAGTCTAAACAGACTCTGTGAAGTCAAAAAATTGCTTAGTAGTCGACTACAAGGCATAGTAGTCGACTACACTGTAAACTCATAGATTCTGGAATTTTATTTTTAGTATTTTGACAGTAACTTTCTCATCCGATATCGGAATGATGTGATTTAAGATTTGTTGGAAAGCTCTTGAAGAAACCTACAACTTTGATCTTTTAAGTTTTCCAGATTCTAATTAATAAGGGGTATAAATAAAATATTTTAAGACTCACTTAATATCTATAAACTCTAATGGCTAACATAGAGGATTTCTATTGTTAACCAACACACTAAGCATGTGTTAGTGTGTTCTAATACTATGTGATACGGGTGTATCTTCTTCCCTGTCTCGGGAGCTTAGTGATCCTCATGGGAGCTTGAGGATAGATGATTCTCATTGTATCTTGAGAATAGAGTCGTGGTTAGAGCCAAAGAAGACGGCGAAAGAAGTCGGAAGAAGGGAAACGCAGAAGAACAGGGTAAACTGGCAGTTCTCTGTCCGGTCGACCGCGGAACACATGCCGGTTGACCGGACAACCCTGCAGGGCACAGGGAACAGAAAGTTCTCTGGCCGGTCGACCGGACCATGCTTGGCGGTCGACCGGATCGTGAATTCTGGGTTTCCTGTTTCGTTTTGGATTCTGTTCTGATAGGGACTCCTCTTTCTTTTGGGCTTGTTTATTTACAAGATTGCCACCCACGTTGTACCTGATATAAATAGGTTATTGTAGGGTTTCAAAAGAGAGACATGAGGGAGAGAGAAATTCTAATAATTGTATTAGGGGTTAGAGAGAGAGTTGAGAGGTTGTTCTCGATTCTAGTGAGATTGTGAGAGAGGGATTGTAATCTTTTCATACTCATAATCTAGAGAAGGTAATTTTCCTTCGCCATACTGAATTATTCTTGTGTTTTGGTCATCCTCTTCTCAACCCACCTTTTGGTAATTCCGCGACCAAAGGGTGCTCGCACGGCAACTCGTATCAAGTTGGTATCAGAGCATCAGATCCGGTGAAGGTGCATCCTGTGTATGGTCCTTACTCGGTCCTAATACAAGAAGCTTGGCGAGATCCTTATTTCATTAGAAGGAGTCCAGGATTTAAGAAAGGAGAAGATGGCTGAAGGAGATAATTCAGCGAGGATTGATGCATTAGAGAAGCAGATCAAGACGATAAGGTCGACGCTCACAAAACCCGTCAGTCTCATCCAAGGACGGAACGAAAAGGGGGAATCTTCTTCTAGGTCTAAGAAGAAACCTATAGAGTCCAGTGGAGAGAGCAAGCTTTCAGGCTTCGACGAGGAGGACGAGACCGTCAAGGCTGCACCGCATCAAGGGGGTAAGAATTCTTACCAGAATCTGAAGATTGATTTCAGAGTGGAGATTCCTATTTATGAGGGGAGTGTTGACGTCGAGAGGCTTGATGACTGGATCGAGCGGATGGAGACGTATTTTACTCTTTATGGCTATTCGTCAAAAGAGAAGATTGTGTTCACGACTTTGAAGCTTTCAGGACACGCGTTGACGTGGTGGAAATCTTATTGTAAGCAGGAGAAGAAGGCGGTGTCGTGGAACAAGTTCAAAGAGTTACTTAGGAAACAGTTCTATCCGGTGGGATTCCTTGAGGAGCGTTGGTACAAGTGGTATGGCTTGCGCCAAAGGGTCAATCAAACCATTCAAGAATACACTACGGAGTTCCAGCAGCAGGCAATGGTTCTTAACGTTGCGACAAGGGAATATTCCGTGTTCATGAAGTATATGGTGGGATTGAGCGATTACATCCGAAAGGAGATGAGGTTATTCACGATCGAGACTATTGCAGAGGCGAGCATGAAGGTCATTGCCATTGAGGGCAAGCAAAAGAAGAGCAACGAAGTAAAGGGGGATGCAAAGCAAGTTGGAGGTGAGTCTAGTGATTCTCAGTTTAAGGAGGAGAAGAAGAAGGGTGATCCAGGAAAAACAGGACTGATTTGTGGTCATTACGAGAAGACAGGGCACATAGCTGATCGGTGCTGGGAGAAGTATCATCATCTCAAGCCAAGGGGGTTGAAGAAGAAGGAGGAGAAAATGGCGTATGTGATAGCTTAAGGTCCGAAAGAAGTCCTGGGGATGACGGAACCCAATAGCAGTCTCAATCTTATGGCGGGGAAGCAGGCCACTAAAGAAGATGACGACCCGAGGGAGCAGCTCTTTGTGCTTAAGTTATAAGTAAAGACCAGTTTGGTTGATGCCATAGTTGATTCGGGCAGCGAGAAGAATTTGATATCCGAAGCCTTGGTTCAGAAGCTGGGTCTGAAGACGGTCAAGCATCTGAAGCCCTATCCATTAGGGTGGATTCAGAAGGAGGAGAAGCTAAGTGTAGTTGATCAATGCACTGTAAGATTTGTGCTCCAAGAGTCATATATTGACGAGGTCACATGCAACATAGTTCCATTGGATGTTTGTCAGATTATACTGGGCAATCCGTACTTATAAGATAGATATGCGATCTACAAGAGGCAGGCTCAGAAGTATACATTCACCAAGGGTGGTGAAAAGTTCATATTTCGTTCGGCATCTCTTCCAAGGGAGACAAGCTTAGGGACGGTGACGCGAGCGAAGAGGTTAGTGAATGTAAGCAAGAAGTTTGTCTCGCTGTGCATTAGACTTCCAGAAAAGCCATCGATGAAGGATTGCAACTTGGAGCGAAAAGTGACTACGACGAGATGCAGGATGAATGAGTTATTTCCGATCGGACGTCGAGATTAGATTCCTAGCAAGGCTAGGTGGTTCAGAAAAGGAGGAGGGGCTCGCGAGTTCCCTCAGCTTTAGTTCTAACTTGAACGGGACTTCAAGTTCCTAAAGGAGGGACTCATGATACGGGTGTATCTTCTTCCCTGTCTCGGGAGCTTAGTGATCCTCATGGGAGCTTGAGGATAGATGATTCTCATGGTATCTTAAGAATAGAGTCGTGGTTAGAGCCAAAGAAGACGGCGAAAGAAGTCGGAAGAAGCGAAACGCAGAAGAACAGGGTAAACTGGCAGTTCTCTGTCCGGTCGACCGCGGAACACATGCCGGTTGACCGGAAAACCCTGCAGGGCACAGGGAACAGAAAGTTCTCTGGCCGGTCGACCGGACCATGCTTGGCGGTCGACCGGATCGTGAATTCTGGGTTTCCTGTTTCGTTTTGGATTCTGTTCTGATAGGGACTCCTCTTTCTTTTGGGCTTGTTTATTTACAAGATTGCCACCCACGTTGTACCTGATATATATAGGTTATTGTAGGGTTTCAAAAGAGAGACCTGAGGGAGAGAGTGTGACGCCCCTGGGCTCACACAAGGCTGCAGTCCAAGGTGAAACCAAGCATGTCAAACCTGCTATGCACCACACCGTGCAATAACATGTTTCACCATCACAATTAACATCTATCTAGTAGAATCAACAACTGGTGTAGGTACAAAACAGGTAAGAGATAATACAAGGAATACTGATGAAATGATAATAGTCACATAAATATCTCATCATCCAACAATACAGAAATACATAGTCAAGATCTGAGTAGATAGACTGAAATACTCAACAAGTCTCAAATACAAATATCTGACGATAAGGAGATAAGGCTCACAGCCTTTACAACTTCTAGAATAATACCCTCAAATATCTAACCTCACTACAGTGGAGCCCAAAGAAAATAATACATAGCTAGAAAGTAAAGCTGAACACTAATGTGGTCCGCTATCAACCTGCGGCTCTCCGTGCTCCTGGCTCGTGACCTGAAAGGGGGAGGGACAACGAGCGTCAAAGCGCTAGTGAGTAACATCACAACCAACCCTAAGGGAAAAGGGCTCGTCGTACAAGAAAATACAGATAATATATAGATAATAGATCTAAAATCATTGATCCTACTAAAGAGGATTTTAGTATTTAGAAATTTACAACACGAGCGTAGGTACGTCGAGCGAAATAATCCAAACAAGGAAACCCTCATGTATATACCTTGTATCTCAAATTGTAAATCTCTAAACACCAAACCCGAGGTTCTAGTACAGAAACAATAAATCAAGAAATACAGCTAATCTCAGAACAAATTACAGTGCCATACCATAGCTAACATGAATGTCATGTTATTACTTACATAAGTGTCATGTCAACATCATGTCGTGAACTTCTATGAAGAAGTCATATGCAGGGTTAAGAACTATGTCCAAATCATGAACTATTTATGTCGTAGTTTTCCAAACTCATAGATTAAGTGGCAAATATCCAACACGAGGACTGGAATGAATTTATAGTCCAACACGAGGACTTCTATGGATTATAGTCCAACACGAGGACTTCTATGGATTATATAGTCCAACACGAGGACTGTGTGTTGGCCTTCTTGTTTTGATGATGTTTAACAAACAATTTACCACTAATGTTGTTTGTCTAGTATTTTTGTTTTCGTATTTATTGTAGACAAACAACGTTGTTGGAGGTTGGATGGATTGAGCCTACACGGATGATATCCAATGGAGGTTGGCGGAATGTCGGTGAAGTTTATGCAATTATATATATATATATATATATATATATATATATATATATATATATATATATATATATATATATATATATATATATATATATATATATATATATATATATCCTTTTCCTATTCTTATATATATTATAATTCTAGGGTTGGGGTTGGGGTCTAATCTTCTATGTTCTTCATTTCACATTAACATTATCTTTTGTAATTCGTTTTCCTTGGTATGTTCCGATGATCTTTGATTTGATGCGCTGCTATGTTAGGAGAATTGAAATATCTTTATTAGTCATGCTATTCTCTTACTTGAATCAAGAGGTTAAAGATAAATTACAAAATATCTTTTATAATATTTTTATTAGTCATGATATTGAATCAAACTTGATCGAATATCTAAACGAATAAAAAAAAGCAAATAGCACCCCTATACTTCATAATTCATATCTAAAACAGAATACTTTTATTTTGGTAACATGTTCAATATTTGCAGAAAATCTTTTAGAAACCGTGCTTTGCACGGGTTTAAATACTAGTTTAGGGAATGGAAGGAAGGGGAAAAATTCCCCTTCATTCCCTTCCCCTCCATTACACTCTAATTTGTGGTGTAAGACTTTGAGCCAAATTTTCCCTCTATTCCCCTCCTCTACCATCCTAAATGAAACTCACAAACAAAGTTAAAATAAAATTTCTCTTCCCTTCCCCCTCTCTACCCTCCATCCAAACAGGCCATTAAATTTTAAGGGATGGGATATGACCACGTAAGATTTCACTATTTTGAAGAAACTAACTATTGTCTTGAAAACCACTATTATGAAAAATCATTTTGATTCACTATTGATGCAATAAATTGGAAAGCAATATAATATGTTCTCCACTCAATACACGAGGTCCCTCAGGCGGGCTAGTATTGCCAATGACGTCCATTTTATTCTTTCCAAGTAATTAATAACACAAATTTGCTCCATCATAGAAAGAGAATATATGCTAAATTTTAAAAGAAAAAGGTATAGAAGGCCAAAAGCAGAGAAGTATTGACTCCAACGATTTCATGCATGTAAGCTTTGTTAACTAGTGGAGAGATTCTATCTCCACATTAACTGTTTAATGGTATTTTTAATTTATATATTATAAAGTGATAGATTCAGGTCGACTTGCACTTTGTAACTTTTTAAAGTACTATTATATATAACGTCACATGTATATTTCAGTTAATTTTATTCCAATATCATGTTAAATACTATGGTAGTTGAATGGTTCTAATATGGCTCCTATGGTCTTGAGTTCGATACTTAGCAAGTTTATAAAGAAAAAAGAAAGATTTAGACATAAATTACGGTGAATTTTAGAAAGGAAAGTTATACATACATTAAATTTTAGATTTTCACAATACCCTTAACTCATAAATCACTAATTTGATACTAATTTATTAAATTATTCAAATCGTTATTAGGTCCTCCAATTCTTATATCTTGTTATTGCTTCACTTTAATTGAAAGATTAATTTGAAAGCAACTTATAAGAATTGTGGGATATTATAGCAATGTTAATTGTTTGAGAGACTGATTTTGAAATGATTTTTAAAATTTGAGGAAACCTAATAACAGTTTCAATGATTTTATGGAGTACTTTGAAAATATTGAAACTTATATATACCGGTATAAACCTTAAAATTTTTACCATAAAACTTTAAACATAATCTACTACAATCAATAAAATTAAATGAATCAATATATAAGGAATCCAAATTCAATTTCCTGCCTTATTGCAAAATAAGAAAAGAAGAGGACGAAAAAGAAAAATAAAAAGGAAAAACTAATATCACTTCTCAAAATTGTATTACAAGAGCTTGATATATTTTGTTGGCCCTAAGTACAAACTTTGTATATTTTTCTTATTTCGGCGACAAGAAGGTATTAAGTGCAACGCAGTGACAACAAAACCATTTTTTTAACAGGAGTAAAATTTTCTAACGAGATCACTTCACATAATAAATCACCTATGTTTTATTTAGCTGAATTGATCTGATGTGGCAAATGTTAAGCAATATCTTAACCGAATAGACTCCTTTTGAGCTCTAATTCGGGAAAAAAAATCCTCATTGATCCCCATCTTTTTGAACCCTAATTTGGATGAACCATATCCAAATTTGCCCCCATGGGGAAGAATACCCAATTTGATCCTCAATTTTAATGGATCTTACCCACTTTTAATCCTAGGAGAAAGAAGAACACTCAATTTGATCCCCACAATTTTAGATCTAATTTGAATGGACAACACCGAATTTTAGTCATAGGACGAAAAAGAAGACATTCCCAATTTTAATGATCACACCCAAATTTGATCCTAGGAAGAAGAATAACACCTAGTTTGATTCCTATCCTTTTGAGCTCTAAGTTTAAGAAAAGGGAAAACCTTTTTAGTTGAAACAAATAATTCCAACTGTTTACGTCAGAAAGTTAACTGTATGAGTAAGTGAATTTTTAGAGGAGTTTAGAGTCCTGTAATCCTCCTTGATGGCTGACAAATCAAAAGGAAGCGAATTTCTACATAGATAACACCCGTTAGAGGGTTGGAGATGATTTCTCCGGTGTGTCCTCGGAGGTTCAAGTCGGTGATAGATTTAGCAATTTTGGTAAATGCAGAATCCAATTTCAGGACGTTGTTCAATGTTCTTATGTACCTTCATATAGTGAGGATTGCCCACTGGTTAGTAATTTGACCGGGTAGGTTTAATCGGTCGATCAGACCGTATTTTACACGCATTAGCAGCCGATTGAATGAGTCACCTTTGAGTTTAAGGCGACGGTGACAGAGTGGCTGAAGTGCTGGTGTTGTCCGAGGAGTTATCATGAGGCTCGAGAAGTCATAATGACTTTGGCCATACATTAAATGCAATGACAACCGAGCGGCGAAGTATACATTGCTGAAGCTGATATGTCATTTCGTTGACCGTGACATGTCATAGTGCGAGTCCCAGTAAAAAATGCCTTTTGCCTCGGACTTGGATTCTTCTAACAGATCCCGGCTTGAAGATGCCTTTCATCTCGGCGATGCTCACCCTCGGATCGGGTTTTTAGATTTATAGAACACAACTAGTTAATTATGGTAATGGTACGTGGCTGCTGACTCTTAAGAGCTTGTTAGACTTAATAATTCTCAAGATATAACACCAACTATATGACTCATACTTATGATATTTAGTCGCTGGAAAATTTATTAAAAAATATATATATATATATACATTGTTATGAAGATGTCCCGCTTTATATACCTCGTCTTCGTTGGTTCTCGGCATCCTCGCCTACGCGTTAATGTCGCCCGCGTCACGATAGAAGTCTACGAACGCTCCGCGTCTTGTTATGTTACCCCTCAGACAAGCGATAGCAAGACCCGCATCGACCCCTCTCGTCCATCAACCACCAGAATCTCACCGTCAGTAATCACCAACCAACCCACCCAATTCTGCTCCTGCGGATCATCACACACATCCTCAACCACTCCGAAAATTTTCCAGAACCAAAGCGTCAACAAATA